ATGATTGTTTTCCTTTACTTATATTAGTTTCTGTTTAGTGGTTCTGTCATATTCTGGAACAATCTGTAAACTTTAGTAGTAAATGTAAAAACAGTTTGAGAAGTTTGAGCTGCAAGAAATGCAGGGATCAGCACTCACCTCATGAATCCAGTGTTATGTACAAATAACCGGAAGCAATAAAATAAAATGGAAATCCTCATGAATCCAGTGTTATGTACAAATAACCGGAAGCAATAAAATAAAATGGAAATTAATAATTTACTAGCTGACATGACATCAAAGCACTGAAAACACATGAAAACTCCTGAGTTACAGCTTCTTTTAACAGACTGTCTGTTAATATTAACCCTGGGATGAAGCATTACAGGCTCACCACCAGGTGGCGCCAGTACCAGTGATTTTAGCCACCAGCTGCCTAGTATGCTCAAGTGTTAGTTGCATACATACAAAGCAGACTTACATGGAGAGACTACACATGTATGCTGTAAGTACATGTTTATGTCATTTTTTAGTCTAAGTATAGTGTAGCTTTGTAAAAACTGGACTCTTATTGTTAATGCAACAACTGCTAGCTCAGTTTATGCTTCAGCTATCAAACACATATACCAAGTGACAGAAATGAGCTAACTGGTAGGTTCAGCACCTATCTGGCAGCCAGCGTGATGCACCTGAAACTGATAGTAAAACCTTACAGCAGTGTGTTGCAGATAATTTGATTCTATCCGTGTAAGATAGACAGAAAAAAATAGACTTTTTAACTCGTTTTTTTAACTCAATCTTGTAGAGTGAGAGGATGGCTGAGGAATGGAGAATTGCACTGGTACCGTTTATTAATAAATCTAGTAACGTACAGAAGGATGAAGTGGATGAGCCATACCATGATGATAAAGGAAAGTTTTGCAGCTAGGTTAATAAGAGAGAAAATGACTAGTGAGCAACAGTTAAGCGTAATGCCAAGAAAGAGCACTACAGATACAGTTTGCATTCAGGGAGTTGATGTAAAAGTATAGAGATGATCAGAAGGAGCTTCACTGTGTCTTTGTGAAATAATTTCCCAAAAAGTATAAACAACTCTAACTACACTAACATTATTCTATTACTTTTATACCAGATCATTTAACTAACCTTAATATATTATAATCAGATCTCTCTCCTTGCAGTTTATATGATATTGTACCCCTCTCTTTCTCACTCTGTGTGGGTGTGCTAGTAGATTTTCTTTGTATTTTTAAACATAAACTTCAATCAGTCAGTGAATCTGCAACAAATTTAAAATAGAAAGAGCTGTGGTTTTAACCTAACATAGTTTTAGCATCCCACATTAGGGTGTCAACTGATACTTGCTGTAAACCATGTTGATGAGTTCACATTGCAGGGCATGAGAATAAAATCCCTTTAAAGGCATATAGTGCTTTATTGGTATGTTCACAGAGATTCAGAGAAGCATGCAGTATCGAAGTCAGTCTAGTGAGAATATAATATGGGATTATCTGGGACATATTCCATGATTTTCCATGATTTAAAGGAACCCTCAATGCTGTCTTTTTGCATATATTTTAAAGCACACCTTAAAGCATTCTCTTCTGTTACCAACAGTTTAACTTTGAGATGATTTTCTGGGCTACACTTAGTAACTGTAAGTAAAGTTACTCTTTTTAAATTCCATCCATATAGCAGCTCAAAAATGCTTGATATTAAGAACATGAGAAATAAAGTGTCTGAATAGCATCAAAAGTAATACTCTAATTTGTCTAATTACTATATTTACATGTTTGTATAAGTAAAGACAAGTATGATGAGACACTAAATGCTTGAGTAAGACTAACATGACTTTAATGACTGCTGTTTCTGTCCAAACCACAAGACAAAAACAGCAGCCCAAAGCCCGTCATGCCTGCCGCCACAGAGAAGAACTCCAGGTGCTGGTAAGTAATGCTAAACTTAATTCTCATTGGTGAAATTACTGTACTATAAAAACAATTTTAAAAAGATTTCAAAGATCCATTGATTATGATTGTAAAAAATACTAGATAATACAAGACGAAATGTTATGAAACCCTTTTGATTGGTCACCATAGCTTTGGTGTCCACAGTTCAAACGATATGTCATAAATCTGTTGACCAGAACAACAAAATTTAAGCTTAAAGTAGCGATTTGAAAACAGACTAAGATTTTAAAAGTAGTAATATTTTGTTCGATAGGATAGCCCTAATATGGTGTTCAAGAAAAGAAATGTGGCCTCTACCAGCAAGCACAGAAAAAAACAAAGTAAAGAATAAAAATGTTTTTCTAAGCCAGATATTT